AACTCGATGATTTCAATCGAATTCGCGAAGGAATCATTATTCCTCCATAGATTTCACGATACCATGTTTACATTAATAACCGCTTACATAATAAATTATGTCACGTTTTTGCATGCAACAATAGAACACGAGCCGGAAAACGATATAATAATAATAATAATAATAATAATAATAATAATTTCCTTCCCGAATAATAATAATAATAATAATTCGTATTTCGAGATTTCGAGATTCGAAATTCGTTGGCGCGCCCACTCCTTTTCCCTTTTCGCAAGTTTCTCAAAGTCCCCCTCCCTTTCCAAAGATTCGGAAAAGAAGCGAGGCTAAAAATTTTTCCCGATTTCGATACGTTCCGAGGATAATGTTTCCCTCGAGTTGCGAGTGGACAAGTTCGGCGAAGCGAACCGTTTGGTCGATATATCCGATCAGAAGCGGCGTAAATACGCTCACTCCGCGCTCTGATTTGGTCACTCACGGGATTTATCGATATCGGTTGTCCGTGGGCGGAAAGAGGGACGGGGTATCTCTCGTCTCTGCACGTATATACAAGCGTGCGGTCTTGATTTTTTCTTCTTTTTTCTTTTTTTTTTTCTTCTCTCCTTTTTTGAACGTATTGGTGAACGTTTGCAAATCGATGAGCGTGTATGCGTGTACCCCGTGTATACATTGAACGCGGTCTCGGAAGATATCGCTAAGTGGTTGCCGATATAAGGAACGGAAGATCAGTCTAAAACCACCTGTCCTCGAAGGTGGAAGCTCTGTAAGCTCTTCTAAGTGTTTTTCTTTTTTTTTTTTTTTTTTTTTTTTTTTTTAATCCATCTATCGATCGATTCGAATAAAATTCGAAAAGTGATCTCGATCACGGCCTTTCGATCCCCGAATCGCGAGGGATAACGCGATGGAGCGATTAAAGAGGAAACGGAAGAGGACCGACGGTCAAAAGGTGAGTTTCTTTTTTTTTCTTTTTTCCTTTTTTTTTTTTTTTTTTTTTTTTTTCTTTCGTTCGCGCTTTACTTAAAGTGGCATGGTATCTCGAGCAGAATGAGATCGATAACGATTTTAATAGGTTTTATAATGGAACCGTGTTAAGACAGCGATAAGAATCGTTCGAACAACTCCGCCGAGAAACTCGCGCTTCGTTGTATTGGATTCGAATAATTTGCGAGGAAGAAAGGAATCCTTTTAGGAAGGATTTTTTTTTTTTTTTTTTTTGGGAGGGGAAGGAAAGAATCGGAATATTTATTGTTAATATACGTATATTTTTTTTAAGTATATTATTAAGTTGTTATAACAAAATTCATGTGCGAATAAACCAAAGTGTAACTTACGTAACTTTGACACTATTCAACAATTGACACATTGATTTACACCGTTTTAAACTCGTGTTATGTTTTTTTTCGATCCATTTAAGAATAACACTCGTTAAGGAGAAATCGAAGTTATCGATATATTATATTTCTATGGGTAAAAAAAAAATATATATATATACGTGTATATTGATCAATTTTGTAATGGGAACGATTAAATTAAATATTACTTTTTGATAAAGCATAAACGATGAAATCTATTAAAAATAGAAATACTTATCATAAATCATTTTTACAAGAGGAGTTTGCCTCTTCTTATCTTAATCGTTCTAAACTAAAGAACTTACTTAGCCTCGCTAGTTAATCACTCTTCTTTAAACTAAAAAGGTGTTCACGAATATGTGAAACGTCGTAAATATAAAATAATAATATCAAAAATTTTTTTCCCTTTATTTTAGTTAGTTAGACCGCCTTCGATCCGATCTATCTGGATTATTGCTGTTTCTCTTTTCGTCAGATACTAGGCTTTTTCATCTTGCAACGAAAACTGAATACTTAAATATTGTCGCCAAGTGAGAAACCATTGATTTTTCAAAACAGATTTAAAGTCCAGTGCTAATATAAATATCCGAATGGAAGTTGCATAATTTCTATTTAATTTATTATTTTTCTTCTTTTTTTCTCTTTAAAAAAATCATTGTGCAAATAGCACGATTAAATTAAACTTTGAGAATTTATATTGAAAACAAAACTGGATAAATTTGTTTTCGACAAAATGTCTATAGTGTTACAGTTTACCAAACGTGAAATTAAACGTAAGGATATATAAATATCAGTATTTTACGTAATTTTTATTAAATTTATAATAGAACGTATATAGAAAAATATATACGAAAGAGGAGAGGTTGGAATAAATTCAACGGGGGGAGGGAAAAATTGGATCGAATTTGAATATTTCGTTCGATAAAAATCGCTTCGGTTTCGTAATTATAAATATAATTTCGCGCGATGAATTGACATGCGAAAGAATCGTAATACCACACGAATGAGATCATCCGTTGCTAATTTTCCTCATTGTTGCATACCAATTAAAATATCCTGCGAGATTTTAAGGTTAGAGCGGGAGAAACAATAGCGGCAACGCCGAGAACAAAAAAAACGTATCGTTTGCCGGGTACAACACACGCCTTTGTGATGGTGATTCCGCTCGTTGAACTCTAAAAATATTTACTATTTCATCGGTAATAGCCCTCGTTTACGCGATTAAATGACGAATCGTGTCCTCTCGTCGAGGCGAGAATTCGTCTTTTCGACGAAAAAGATGCGAAAAGATATCGTTGCTATGTAACGCGGGTCATGGATGCGATAGAGTCGACACGATTGTATTTTTATCGTACGTAAACTTCTACTCTCTTTTATTTATCGAAAGTTCATTTTCTATCGACAATAAACGATAACGAATAAACATCCAAGGAAAATCTTTCGTTTCCTTATCGTTGGCCAGTTTAAATACCGTTGTATTATGCATTCCTTGAAATAGTTGTTCGAATCGTTGTCTCGTTAGAAAACCCTGTTCGTTGCTCCGTCGAGCGTAAACAAGATATGGCTCCCCTTGATAGTGCCGACTGTGTACTACATTACCGGTTGTGTATAGTTTGCAAATATATATATATATATATTCACATTGAGTTGGAATGCAATAAACGTACCGTTTAAATCCCTTGATTGTTCCTATATTTGCTCGTGTCAAATATAGAAATCGTATCGTACAGTAATATATAATATCTTTAATTATACGAATTCGTTTACCATCCTCGACTATATCTATATATTTATATACACTTCCGTGGAGATCTTTTTAAGATCTTCAAGGAAGGAGGATTTAGAAGAGAAAATCGTATCGTATAATATACAACATCTTTAATTACGCGAATTCGTTCATCCTAGACTATATCTATGTATTTATATACACTTGTGTGCGGATCTTTTTAAGATTTTCAAGAGGAGAGAATTAAGAGAGATTGATCTGAAATTTTAATAGAAGAAAATGTGATAACATAATGTGTTACGTTATCAATTTTCATTATGTAATTCGAATGTATAATTTCCGATACTGTTACTTTTAATAATCGAAAGTACAATATTAATATTGGAAAAATTTCGACTCGGAATCCCTCGTCTCCTCGTATTTTTCATTAAATCGACGAAAAATAACGGTAGAGAGAGATCAATTCAATTTCTTTTCCCACACGTTCTTCGTACGTAGAAACCGAGAAGACGTTCTTCCTCGTTTTCACCGCGATCCAACTGACCATGCGGTGCCACGCATGACTTTAATCAACTTTAACTGGCCAACTCCCGCGATGCTATTCTTCCGATTCTGCCTCGCCCCCCTCCCCCTCCCTCCTCCGTAACGCACATTCTCTCCATCCTTATTCTCTTTGCGCAGAAAGTATTGCTCTCCATCGTCGATCCCTGGGACGTGAGCGTGGCCAGTGTCGATCCAGTCGGCTTGGCAGAACGACGAGGCGTTTCCCTGTCTATCTTAGTGCCGCAAGAGGAGGGAAACACGGTCCAGGAACCATCAACACCCGGCAGAACGGTCAAGATCCCCTCGCCTTGGTACAAACCTGCCTACAACAACGTCGCCGACCGTTTTCCAACAAGTGGTCAAATCTTCGAAACGGGCTCCT